GAAGAAGAAGAAGAAGAAGAAGAAGAAGAAGAAGAAGAAGAAGAAGAAGAAGAAGAAGAAGAAGAAGAAGAAGAATTCGCTTCTCATCCAAGAAGCTTCATCTGTTGTGATTAGTCCGGTCTTCTTCTTCCCCCTCAAGGAAAAAAAACCAGTCCACTTGCCTTTTTTGGGGAGGGGGGGAGAAGCACCTTTTAGACCTATACAAATCCTTCTTCTGAAAACGCTGAGGAAGCAACAATGTGGATGACATGGTCTTGTTCAGTCCCAGTGGTTCAAAATCAGAAACCTGATGGCCTGGAGCTGCCCACCTAACGTCCCTTTAAGAAAGGACAAGTGCCAGGAAGGGCTTGCTCTCCTCTGGTGACAAAGTCTTGGCTGCCAATTGCATAAATCCGACTGTGTGTGTTGGGCCACTCTGGGACAAAGGAATATATTCTGGTTTCTCTGAGAGTTTCTTTTATTATTAAATAGCATTGTTGTGGCTAATGACACTATTAAGAGAGGGATTCCAACAGGCACAGTTTTGGCTTGTTCCCCGGTGTGTGGCCTAGCTGAGATTTCACCGCTATACACACACTGCCGGTGACTTCACCGCTCAGAAATGGTGGAAATTAGGGATGATTGTGCCCTGTCTTTTTCGGTATTCTGCCACACATCTCTTTGACTGTCTGATGACCTCCCTCCAGTTGGAAGGATGGGACCTGGCTGGCTTCCAGTGCTAATTAAAACCCATGAACCCTCCTGGGAAACTCAAATACGGACCCGATGACAAAGAATACCCTGAAACAAAGCCCTGTGAACAATCTACAATGCCTGCACATCTACTCTATAGTCTTCGCTGGATTTAAGAAGTATCCCAGTGGGGAATCCAAGCACAAACATGATAACTTTCGAAGTGTCCTGTGATTTCTCCCTATATCCCTATATCCACCCACCCCCAAAAGTTCTAATTTAATGTTATGGCCCTCCAACTGACAGCAGAGCTGGCAGCAGACTCGGACAACGAGGAGGTTGGGGAGGAACGTGGACCAGATCTGGAGTCTGGGGAAGGCTCTGATAGGTGCTCTGTGTCGGGACGCAGAGTTAGAGCCAGGGCCATCCAACATTTCCCATCCACCAGAAAAAGCATCTGCTTTTGGAGGTTTAGATGAATGAGGAGGGAGAACCGCTGGGCCCTGTTCCAGATGCATGTATGTGCAGAGCTGTTAGGAGAGGTGAACAAGGGAGAACAAGGAGCCGACTTGGGAAGCAAAGCACACGTGGGTGCTGAATGGCCCCTCCATGGCTGGGAAATAAGTATAAGGAAAGGAACTGTGGTTGTAGGAGAAAACAGTTCGTATTTCTGAAGATTCTGCTCATTGTGTTTCGTGCATCAAAGACTGCTTGCCAGGACTTAATTTGCAGCCTTTTGGCCTTGCAATTGTCACAAGGAACTGATAAGGTCTGTTGCTGCATTTAACTCCTTGCATCACTCTGGCGTGGACTTTTCGGTGGGCGAATGCCGTTAATTCACAAGAGGTAAATAAATAAGGAGTGTGTTTCTTGCTTTAGCTAAGGCTGGGTCAGAACATCTAATGGCTATCAGGACATATTGGTTTGAAGGAAGAGAGCCCACCTAGCTTCAGCCTATCCCGAGGGAATTCCCATTTATTGGCATCGTAAGGGAGACGTTCACACTGCTCAACCATCGGGACTTCATCAGGATCCATGATGATAGACAGGTAGCCAGTTTTTAGTTCTCCTCCATTGGCCTGAAAGAAACACAACATCAACAATAGTAGCTTACCCTTATTACAGGTTGTCCTCAACCTACAACCACAACCGAGCCTAGAATTTAGGTTGCTAAGTGAGCCTTGCCCCATTTTATGACTTTTCTCGCCACCGTTGTTCAATTAATCACTGCAGTTCTTAAATTAATAGCACGGTTGTTAAGTGAATCTGGCTTTGACTTTGCTTGCAAAAGGGGATCGCATGACCACGTCATAGATGCGAGTCGGTTGTCAAGCATCCAAAATGTAAATCACGTGCCCATGGGGATGCTGCAACGGTCATAAGTATGAAAAATGGTCATAGGTCCCTTTTTTTTCCAGTGCCATTGTAACTTCAAACCAGTGGTGGGTTACGACTGGTATGCCCCGGTACTGGTGTACTGGTGCCTGCTGGGAGCAATGGGTACCATTCTGGTACGGTGCTCCGGGGGGACACCCGCCCTCCTTACCTGTATTTGAGCTGTTCGGCTCTTCCGCACATGCATATGGAGCGTACGGCGCCTGTGCAACACTCCGCCAAGCAGCTGGAGCGTCACGGAGGCGTCGCGGAGGCATCGCAGGAGGTAAGAATGCAACCGTACCGGTTGCAACAGAATCCGGAACCCACCACTGCTTCAAACAGTCACAAGGTGAGTTGTTGTAAGTCAAGGACTACCTGTATTGGGTGATCTGCCCTCTCTCACTAGCATGGTTAAGACTTGAAGCCTTCTTTTCCTTTTTTCCAGAAATGCAAGAACATTGTTTCCCATAACTGCTCCGTAAGGCACATACTCATCAACCGACCTTAGAAACTTGCTTTATTACTATCTGGGGGGAAAAAAGGCCTAAATTTTTCTTCTCTCATCCCACCAATTAAAAGCAAAATATTTGGATGCCTTCAACGTTCTGCAGGAATGTGATGCCCCAAGGAAGGGGTGGTGGTGGCGGGGAGAAGCCTCTGTTGGTTTCAAGACAAAGCCAAGAACCAGGACAAAAGGAAACCCATCAGGTTTCATTTGTTATGCAAGACTAATGCCAACAGGACAGTGGGGGAAGAGTAGCTTTCATTACCCGTTTCACAGTCCGGAGAATGATTACGAGGAGCAGCCAGAAGAACATGGCGATGATCGCTGTCCCAACAAGAATAATGAGCTCAAGGTTTGTTTTCTCATCCGTCCCTGGGAAGAAACAATGAAATGATTCATGGATAGGTTGCAAAGCCTTTCGGGATAGGCCATCAGCTGAAATACTTAAAAGGCACCCTTGTCCAAGAAAGAAAAACTTTAGATGCTCAAACACCTACCGTGTTTCCCCGAAAATAAGACAGCGTCTTATTTTCTTTTGACCCCCAAAATAAATGCCTGGCCTAATTTTCGGGGAGGTCTTATTATTTTCGAGGTGCAGCATGGTCACCTCATGGCTGCTGCTATGTTTGCAGTATTTTTGGGGAGGGCTTATTTTTGGGAGAGGGATTGTTTTAGCGCATGCGCTCAAAAGCCCGATTGGGCTTATTATCCAGGGAGGTCTTATTTTTGTGGAAACAGGGTAGAGCGCGGGCTGCCTTTCTAAATATGAACAAGCATGAGGATGCTCATTTCCAAGGGCGTTAAACATCACTGCAGCATCATTCTATGCTTGGGTGTTTTGCTCTGATTGATAGACAATGCGCTAAAAGACAAACAAGGACTCTGGGTTATTTAAAGAAAGTTTTCCATGGGCTTGCTCCTGCCATACGATAATGACAGTTTAATGAAAAACCATTATTATATTTTCCAGAGTAAACAATCATTTCAATAACTAAGTTCACTATTATATACAATATGCATATTACAGAGAGAGAGAGAGAGAGAGAGACTGAGAGAGAGAGAGACAGAGAAAGACAGAGAGGGAGAGAGACAGAGACAGAGAGAGAGAGAGAGAGAGAGAGAGAGAGAGAGAGAGAGAGAGAACAAGACAGAGAAACAGACAGAGAAACAGACAGAGACAAAGAG